TATTTCTTTAAAGATATTTACAATAAAATTTGAATATCCATACTACATGTTCATACTAATCACAATGGCAACTTGTGGTGGAGCAGCGGCCTGTGTTTCCGGCAGAGGGGATGAGTTGTCCCGTATCCAGCTGCCAGTCTGTCGTGCATTTCCGCCGGTACGGCCAACGTCTTGATCATTGGATCGATGCATTTAAAGAAAAAAAAGGAGATTATTTATGTGTAAATCCTGGAAATAACACAAAGGGAAATGTGAGGAAAGGCATCACGGCTACTCACCGCAGGAATAACATAGATGGGCTATGATTGGAGATCGAGGTCGTTAACAAAAAGTATGTGCCGCCCGGGGAGGCTGTTCTTCCGAGGGGAATGAATAAACAAGAGGAGCGGGAACATCAGCGGAAGGACGAAAGAAGAAGGCAAGAGTTAAAAGAATATTGTGATAAGAACCCACTCTTTTGAAGAGGAGAGATTAGTGCGCACCCATTCTTCAGTGAACAGAGATGAATCATGATTTTTTATGAAGTCTTGAACGCACAGAGGATGCGCATCTCATACAAGAAATGACTTTAATTTGTTGATCGGCTTCACTCTGTTTGCCTTTAGAGTTTAATGTCATGTTTTTTTTTTTTTGACAAAATAAAAGATCTTTTTTTTGTTTTAAGGGGGGAGTGTGGATTGTGATAAAACTCGTACTTATCCTAATATATATATCCCAATATTAAATAAGCCCTTTAATTACTATTGTATCTAAGTATATTCAATAATAATAGCCATATAGTACAAAGATAGTATATATTTCCTTAAAATCTATACTTTACTTGTCCATTTTTGTATACAGTTGTCGTCCATATTGCTTAAATTCTATAGGCTTTTATCTTAAATGTTATCTGATAGGTCTTTCTTCAGTTATTTTATCCAATAAGGTGTACCTTAACGTTTGATGGTTGGCTGACCATTTCTTTTGCATACTCACACTATAAGGCCGTGTTAGGATAGTATAAGCGGACTGCGAGTTCATGCGTCCACTGCTCTTAGCACAATAGCTACGGGTAAGACCATCTTCCGTTTCCGCGCATTAAATATCGATTTCGGTACTAATTTCTAGGGGACATCCCAATTACTTACTAATTTTTTCTCTCTAAAATTTATCCACTTCAAGTAAGGCTCCATACTTAATCACAATATTAGCAATTTTGAGCCCGATCTAAATCAAACTAATTAGCACAGTAAAATTCTAAATTAGGTCCAAAAAGCTATATTTACATTCAGTGTAATTTTCTTCATGAAATCCATTAGAAATCCATGACTTTCAAATCTCTATAAAACACGCGAAACCTTGTCACCGTACGTTAGAATACACAGCAGGAACTATATGCACTTTAAGTACTTTTTGAACACCAAAATTTACTTTGTTTGACCCAATTTAATTGTTAAAAAGTAACCCTGTTTAATTAATGTAAAAATACAACAAATGTGCATTTAAAATTAATTTGTCACTTTTTTCCTCGCAATGTTCGTTTGCATTATTTAATTTTACGACGTCACAAACGGCTCTTACGTCTATAAATCACACCGGTTTTGAAGGGCGCTAAATTCACATCAAAGATTACCGAAATAAACAATTATGAAGGGGAAAAATTAAAGAATGTAAATATGAGTTTTAAATTCATATATTTCAGGATGCGTTCGGTCCTATAACACACCTGGCCGTATCATACCGAGCGTGCGGTATTCAATTTGTCGGAAAGGCCAGGTGTGTTATAGGACCGAACTCAACCAAAAATATGAATGCAATGCTTAAATATCTCCCAACTAATTTTATTAAACCCCTTGAACATTTCATTATCATTCACTGTCTACAGGTAAGTTAAGGCTAGGTAGAGGCATTTCTATGCAAATGAGCTAATAAAAATACATAATTTGTGTATTTTTTACACAGAAAAGGTTCAAGCTTTTTTTCCTATACATACTAAGTTCACACAGCATTATAAAGCAACTGCATATTATGACGTTATTTATCTTCAAATTCAAGGTAATAAAAACATCAACCAAATATCGCCGGCGCAAGAGCATATCCTATATAATTTTTAATCATTTAAGTAAAATATAAAGAAGAATGATATAAAAATTAACAATATTGCTGCACAAATCCTTGGCGCTTTTTTTAATTTATAAAAATTTCAGGAAACTTACACCTGACAGTGAACTTTCACCCCGTTTCAACTTAAAACTTCTGAAATAGTAAATAAGCAATTGCACTGTCGACAATTGAGCAGCAACATCACATATCCTTAAGCTGTTCTATGATCTGGGCTTCCGTCTGTATAACGAAGAAGTATCGGAGGATTAGAGTTTGCTCCATCGTCAATTTCTGCACGCACAATCTTGGTGGTTTCTGTTGAGTGACGCAGATGATGGGATGCCTGGATCACCATCTTTCAGCGTTATGTGAAAATCTCCACGATAAAATTAACTACGGGTATTGTGGGGAATGTAAATCATAATGCAGACTGAGGAGATGATTCCACATACATGTACATGATAGTCATGATCCAGGGTAAGAAGTCTACTACCTGTGCTGCTCACCAGTCCTCCATTGTGAGATCTATTGACGGCACCAACTGGCCTCCCTGGTTCCCCCACAGGAACAATTGCCTTGTCATCTAAGCACTGGGAATAAGAATGGTCTCTCCATTTTACAGCAAAAGATTTGAGGATAGTGTACTGGTTAAAGGCAAAGTCTGCATCTTTATGTTACACACGTAAAAGGCCTTGCTGTACTGCATGCTTAAAGTGACATTCCCCCGTATATTGTGTAACTGATTTTCTGTATGGGTTTGATGGATAGAAATTGAGTCTGATCCATGTTTCAAATGGTGGTTAGGAGGAATTCTGGCTAGAATTTGCTCCTTCAAATCACGAACAGATATGGCGAAAGGCATATACGATATTTCGCCATGTCTACGATCATCTACCGCACTTTTCTCTTTTTAATATTTAATGGCACCTGATCCCACCTCTGATGTTTCGGAGGTGCCTATTCGTTATCTCGAAATCCTTATCCATTCTCAATTTTTTATAACTGTAGGGGTCTTCTCCTTGCAGCTCATCTAGCAATGCACTATGTGCACCAAGTATCTTCCGCCTCTGAATCCATTGTCTAACCCACATCTCGTTTTCATTTTCCTTTCAGAGCAGTGCAAAGAACGATGATAGACACTGCTATTAGAACTTCATCCTCCATTTTTATACCCCCGCTTGAAAAGCGGGAGGGTATATAGTAATCGGTATTTCCGTCCGTCCGTCAGTCTGTCTGTCCGTCCGTCTGTTGCGCTTTTGGGTACCCATCTCTTATCCGCAACTCCTCTCATACCACTGAAGGAATTTAATGAAACTTCCACAGAATCTTTATTACATATTGCCGTTGTGCATCTCCTATTTTACATTTTGATCTGACATATATTTAGGATTTTCCAGAGTAAAACATGGACACTGCCATTATATTCATATGGGAGGCTGGGGGTATCATTTAGTGAGCTCATTGCTCACAGTACCTCTAGTTTAATTTGACAGATAGAGAAATATGATGGGGATACAGTAGTAGGGATAACGTAGTTTATTTACAATCTTTTAAGATATGTATTAGCGTGAGGACAATTATGTATTATGATACAAAAGTCTTATAATACTTGTATTATACTACAAATTTCATCGTGTATACCGGCCTTTAGAAGCCAATCAAACGTAAATAAATTTAGGAATTTCCTGGCAACAATTTATTTCACGTATTTTACATTAAAAAATAAATAAAAACAATGAAATTAAAATATTTAAGTATATCATTTCAATTTATCGTTACTTATTAATGGTAAAAGATACTACAGTTGTGAAAACCTTTCCGTATTTTAAATTTTGATACGGTTGCGGTTTTACTTTTAGTACACGATCGCGACTTCCCAACTTCACAAGATGGAAGGACATTACATTGAGAAATTATTTACTAGATGAAGCAACGTTTTTTTTCTTTTGTCATCAACGGATATTTAATGTAATTTATTTTCGAGGACACCAATAGAATAAAAAAACTTTCTTTATTGTTTACAAAGGCATTAATTTTTCTGTGTAAAATAATCAAAAACGTTACGAAAATGCACAAAAACGAAAATAGCATTTGCTTTGCAATTGACGTAAATTTTACTGATTTGGGGGCATTTTTCGTAAACTTGAGCCTTGAAAAGGTCGATTCTGCATATTGGGCGACCCCAGCGGTATTGTGAAAAAAATCTGAGTAATCGGTTATATACCTTACTTAAGTCTTTTTAGGTCATTCCAAATTTTCATTGTAATGGTCTCCCGTTTTCTCTTGTGCAACACCCAACCAGCTTTAAGCTGCGGAGTGAAGATCTACAGTTAAAATTGCCTGGCGAAGATTGTCTGCGGAAAGTTTATTATTATTAAGTAACAAATTAAATGCCTGCAACAAAATGCACAGATCTCAATTTTTTTTTCCAAGAAGACTTAAGTACCCTCTCTACACCAAGTAAAGATATTTTTACACCACTGAAAATTATATATACATCAAATTGAAACATTTTGAGCTGATTCAATGCAAGTTTAACCTTGGTTGTTTGTTGTTTTTTGTCAAATAATATTAAAACTTGAAAATATCTCATAAATCAAAAAAAAAATTCTCCTTTCAAGAATTCAAAGAAAAACTATATTTGATGAAATGGAAATCATTTATTCTTGTATATTTCATTATATTTTGTGAACAGATATCAATAACAAACTTCTATAAAATGGAATAATTTTTTTTTTCAATGACAAAATGTAACAAATTATAAAAAATATCAATTTACACCATCTTATACCCAAATCTATTGGTTTATTTGGTGACATACATAAAGCTCAATTTATATCCTTAAAATAATTTGAATGATTGCATGGGGAAGCCTTGCAAATAAGAAAGAAAAAAAATTCTAACATACTGACAAAATAAAAACTCACAAGGGGCATAACTCAATTCTTGGCTGAAAACTAATTTGCAACAGAACTCCAAATTTTCTTACACTTGGAAACACGCACTTTACCACCAACATTTTCAATGAATAAGTTTCTGATACCATCTTCTTGATGTCTTTGAAAAGCTAGCTGCAGATGTGAAAAATTCAAACCAGAGGAGGCAATCTTATTAGCCATAAAATCAGAAATCACCTTTTCATGAACCAAAACATGCAAAGACTTGTAATTTTTTTCTTTACATTGACTATGTGAATAAATCTGATAAACATATTCAGATGAGACACTGTGTTTGATGAGAGATTCATCTTCAATGTTATGAAACTTTGTAAGTTTCTGTAAGTTTACAGAGTCATAAAGTGCACAATGAGCTTGACCAGTACATTGTAATCCAGACTCTTTCATCAGGCTTTCCTGTGAATAACTACCACTGTGCTTATCTAAAATATCTCTAAACACTTCTAAAGTGTCCACAAAACCAACAACATTTGTAGATACATTTCTATACAAAAGATTTTTCACTAACAATGGGAAATCAAAATGATTACCATTGTGCCCTAAAAGTACATTGTTTTTACTTGATGACAACCAAGAAGAAAAGTCTTCCAATGCACTATGAAGATCAGTAGTCTGTAGTACCTCTTCTCTCTTCATCAAAGTATTGTTCTTCAAATGGATGCCATGCACCAAGGTAGCTTTTGTTGAAATGCTGCCAACAGGTTTTATGAATCTCTGAAAAGTGTCATTCCCCCTGGTGGCACCGATTTCTAGGATTTCACTTGTCAGACCTATGATAAAAAAAATTACATATGAATATTTTCTGTTTGATTTCATTTATTATTATACATAAATATATTTTTTTATATAAATATGTGTAACAAATACATGTATATTTGTATACAGTTATTGTTTGAAAATAATAATTATGATTATATGGTTATTTACCTAAACCTGTGGTCTCCAGATCAAAGAAAATCCAGGTATATTCATCCTTTGGTAGAGATGTTCTGGCTGGCAATGGAAGTGCAGGAGGGATATATAGATTCAATGTCTTGGCTCTTTTCTTCTTGATCCATTTCAACTGATGTTGCATAAGTTGTTCCCTCTCTCACTTCTTTAGTTTCCCGATCCTGTGATGATGACTTTTTCAGATGAAACTTTCTTTTCTTGTATGCAGAACTTGTATATCTCTCCTTTTCCAGAGCTCTTTTCCTGTCCATTCTTTCTACCACTTTTTGTGTTTGTGAACCAGGTGAAAGACTCAGCTCTTTATTGACCTGAAAATACAGATACACAAAATTTTACAGTACATTCAATTTTATATGGCATCATGCATAAAAAGTTCCGTTTTATCATTTATACATGTTCAATTTACCTCTGTTACATAACTTTTCCCAACATTTTTCTGGGCCACTGCTGCTGCAACTCTGAAGCAAGTACTTTCAGAACCTGAGAGATAAAGTGTTTTTGGATGCTTGTACACAGTTGTTGAAACTTTCACATGCCTGCGTGGAACCTAAATGTGACAACTTCTGAACTTGCTGAACATATGTTGACATGATATTTTCTAAATCTGCTCTCAGTTCTTCAGATGTCAAATATCGACTGTAGGGCAGGTTTTTGGGAACATAGGTGTCAGGATTCCTGCGATGTTTACACCAGGTTCTGCACTCTGAGTGGTCTCCATACATATGTGGCACAATGGCTCCTAAAGATTTTCTCATTTCCTCTGGGTTCTTCTGGTGTTGTGCAAGAGCATATGAAAAACATTTTTTCAAGTGAGCAATTGTTTTTCCTCTCAGTTGTGAATATTTCTTTGCTCTTTGCAGGTCATATAATTTGTTGGTAAATGTTTTCTTTATATGATTTCTGTCACTGTATTTTGTCAGATCTTCACCACACACTTTCTTTGCTCTTGCTATGGTGGTACTATCTTCATCCATAACTAACTCACTAACACTGATGTTGTTGTCTTCATGTCCTTTATCATGCCAACAATCATGTCCGGTTCCATTGACTTTGCTGATCCATCCCAATTTTTTCTGCAAAAAATTTCATTTTACATTTTATTGTATCTTGTACTGATATGATCACTTTTACCACAGAAGCTTCCTATTTTTTTTTTTTACAAGTTTTCACCAAGCAAATGCTACCAAAAGAAAAAAAAACAACAGTGTGTTTTATAATAAAGGATGTCCAAAAAGTTACAAATGATAAAAAATCTTTCTAGAAAATAAATTCTGTTTTACTAACCTACAGTCATGCTCTCCAGGAGTAGTTCCCTTTTTCTCAGCATTATAACATATTCGACATTTCCTGCACCGTACATCATACTGCAGTACTTTTCCTGTTTTATCTCCAATCAATACACTGTGACCTATATTATAAGAAGACTTATATGATTCTTAAAAGATTAATTTATTTCAAGAAAAAAGTTGACATATAATAGTAATATATATAAATGTACTCTACCAAATGTTAGACAAAATGAACATATTGGAAATATTTATCTATCACTATTAAAAGATTTTTAAATTATTAAATATAAAATAAACATAATTCTTGTACAAAATAAAACACATTTTACCTGAAAAACTGTTATATTTTCTGCCGCTTGACCTTGTTTGCCAACCAGCATCAGCTGATACCCTAATGCCTCCACTGCTATAAATATAATAAAAGTATATTCAAATTTCAAGAAAGATAAATACAATTTTTATACCTAATAATTCCACCTAAAGGCATGCAAATAAAATATACATATGTATGTGATTTAGCCGATAATATGTTATACATTATTTATAAATTACCCATCATTCCTATCAACCTCTTCCCTGCATGCTTCAGCACACGTCTTTGAAGCTATTGTCTCTATCGCTTTTCCAGATTCTCTGTCTCTTTTCTTCAAAGTTGTGGAAGTAAGGCCAAGGATATTCAATATAGCCAGAAGTAAAAGTAGGGCTGAAAAACTTATCCCACTGCTGGTCACACCTAAAAAGAACATGTGTGAATAATAGAGTATTAATATATATGCAGAATTCCAATAAATGTCCACTTATTAATAAGATTTAGAAAACTACATTAAAAGAAAACACAATTCTCATAATATTTGTCTTTGTTGACATTTTTGTACCTGCACTAAGTTTTGTGTTGATGTCCCATATACTTTTCCCGTGCCTTTTCCCAGTAGGTATGCTCGTAACATGACCACAGTCTCCATTTTTACACTAAAGCAAAAAATATGGAATGGAGAAAATGAATTATATTCAAATTTTATAGTGTAGAACTTCCTTAAAATTTTGTAAGTGAAAGAACCAGTAGAATTGAAGATAGGTTTATCTTTTGTATTTAATTATATTACTATTAATATAAAAAAAAACAATTGAAAACCAAATATGTATACTTTATGCACATCAATATAATATCAATATAAACAAAGAGTGCTTACAAGTATGTACAAGAGACCCCCTAGTCCGTAGTGCCTTTCTTGGACACAGTTTGACAGCTGTAGTATGAAACCACATTTCTCGCATCCTTTCTGCAGATTAGATGCCAAAACTCCTAACTCAACCACTCTCCTACCCTCATTCCATTCAAGAAGATTCCTTTGTACATCATTGTGTAGGGGCTCCAAGAAATTTTCGTCGAAGTCGTCCTCGTAATCTAAATCTGAATAATCGTCATCAGACCATCCATCGTCCGCGGTGGAAGTGCGGGAATAATCATGATCAATGCTGAAAATAATAGTAAAATTCACAAAACTGTTTATAAATCACGATTTATCAGCGAGTTCTTTTCACCCATTATAAATCTTTCAGTTTAAATTATATTTTAGCGAATAATAATATATTTTTAATCACTACCTTGGATGAACAGTAGACTCTTTCACCTCTGTTGCCTGCGTCACTGTTGCTGTGGTGTAATTGCGTTTATATCGGCCGTTTTTAAATCTTCGTCTGACATTTCCCGCAATTTTGTCGGCCATCTTCAAGCTTCGATAGAAACGATGCGTTTTTTTATTCCTTCATGTACTAGAGAGCGCAAAGGGGGATAACTGAATTTCTAAAATCAACGATATCAGCAGATAATTTTTTCCCGGAATACTAGCAATGGGCAGATCACTCTATTCCCTAAAAAATACTTTTAAACCGGAAGACTCTTCATCGTGCAGTGTAGAGAGGTTTCTTAAACAAAATCACTTTTAGTTGTATTAGTTTATTCACTTAAAAACCCTCAAAACAAGAGGGGTACAGACGTAAAATAAGTGTGGACACCCACTAGCTAGTCGGTCATATTGGCGCCCCATGTCTAGTAGGAGCTTGGCCTCACTATTAACATATACAACACTTGTCCACTTTATACTCTTTTACACTTCCCCCTAGTGTGGGCGCCAATATGACCAATTAGTTAAGGGTGCCCACACTGTGGCTCGACCCTACAACCCTCAGATAAAAATCCGACGCTCTTCCGACTGAGCTAAAGGGTAAACCCAACAGCTAGTGCTAGTAGGAGTGTGACTTCACTATTTACAACTGTTTACACACATATCCACTTCTTAACTCTGTTACACAATAAGTCATGATTTATTAACACTTAAAGCTATTGTCCCTACTATTTTGAAAAGTGCTGGGAGCAAGTTACGCGCTGTTGCTTTTCTCTGTAATTTTACATTATTTCAATGCATATAATCTTAATGTTCGAAGTTATCAAAAACAGCTAAATTTTATATTATTCCCGGGCCTGAGGAAGTTTCTCTCAGCACTTTTTGGGTGAAGGATTTTGTCCTAAACAAAACCATATCAATTTTATATTATTGTTCATTTTTACGAAATATTTTAAGATTCATTTCTTATGGGCGACCTTAACCTAGCTGCGATCACTCATCAAATATTTTTTTATTAAAAAATCAAAGTAAAAGGAAGAAGTGGGTGATGAAGTCTATGGACATTTTTCATATACCGGTACTTCTAGGTTACTAAATTTATGTAGCTATCTTATAGCTTATTAAATGTACTGGACATGAGAAACCTTTTCTATTTCATATTTTTTTTTAGAGTTGATCTTGGTTCTGTTGATTGCGGTAGTGGTGATGGTGCTCGTATCTTCTGTTTCCAGGTCTGTTTGAAGAAGATTACATAAGTTAATCTAGTGATGTGCCTTCTAGACCACTTCCCTCCGTGCCTGTTCATACACCTTCCCCACTATCAAGCCCTCACTTGTCTACACCACCTAGACATGATTTGACACCATCTGCCACACTGTCAAGCTCTCGCATACCCACACCGGCTTGTCACGACATAACGCACATTAAACTACCAAGCCCTCGCTTGCATACACAACCTAGACATGACTTGACACCAGCCACGCCACCAAGCTCTCGCATGCCTACACCTGCTACAAGTGACATGACACACGTCACACCACTATGCTCTGGTTTGTCTACAAGTGCACACTTGTCGTTTCCCTATCGCCAAGGAACATCAATCCCTTTCACCGTCTTTGGACAAAGTATCTTGTTTGCTTAAATGAGTGGAAGTGATGAGACCTTATTCTTAACCCTCAACAAAAGGATCCAAGTCATCCAAGACGGAACAAAAGGATGCAGCAATTCTTAAATGAATTGAATTTAAATTTAATTAAAATTGGATGAGCAATTGCAATAAATTTTCTATTTATATTGATTTATCTATTTTGTTTTGAAGACAGCCTGAAATAAAAATTATCACTATTTCAACTTTGAATATCCTGTGCTTTCCTTGCATGATGATTGATTTGAATATTGTGAAAGTACTTTTTTGACATGCTAAATTTTGTTGGGGGCCGATTTGATGCTTTGCATCAATTTTACTTGTGTATAATGATGTATTTGTACAAAATTCTGTTTATGAAACCTATCAAGGGTTCCAAATTCCTTAATTATTATATTTTTAAATTGATGTGTCCATTTCACAACTTTTTTTCGTAAAGCAGGATGAATGTTATCCAAACATTAGTTTAGAAGCACATTTTTCTAGGCCTCTTGAATGTTTTGTGACAGTTTATTTGATATGGGTGAATAAAGTCTATACTTCTCATGAGGATATATCATAATTTTTTCATGTCTTTCTGTTTTGAATTTGCTTTTACCAATTCAGATATATTACTGTCTTGTTTCTTTTGATGGATTTCGTTAAGTGTACATATTAAAGGTCTGATGCTAGTTCAACAAATATGATTCTACACAAGCTGTGCCTGAAATTTTGCGATTCAGTTTTCTTTTATGCATTGACAGACACATAAGCTTGAATACTTAAACATGTATATCTCTTCAACTGAAAAATGTGTAAGTTCCCATACATTGAAATTTCAGCTTTTGATAAAAGTGTTTTGCTTGAAATAAGCTGATGCTCAAACTTATTTTGTTTTATCAAAGTAGGCTTGGAGCTATAAGATTAGCCTTGTATAATGTGCGTGGATTCAGTAGATTCGTCATTCCCAAAACGTAGGATCCTGAAGTCTGTACTCGCGGTTACGGCGAAACTAGACAGAGATTTCTACAACCCGAAATTCTGAGACATCTTCATGCATGACAGTTTGGAAAAGAGAAAACATAGGTTCGTGTAGGATCGGAAATTGCATCGATGATACATGTATCCTGCATGGACTTTACAACAAATAATCCAAAGGAACCACTACTACAAGACTAACACCCATCCCAGGTTGACCGTAGCAACTAGAAGGGTCTGATTTATTTATTGGGCCATATTAGATCATTCCTACATCAATCAGCATTTGCCCGACGTGGTATCCCATTTGAAGTGATCAGCGATAACGGACCACGGTTTCATCATCTCTTTATATTTACATTTAGTGTAATTTTCCTTATGAAATCCATTAGAAATCCACGACGTTCTAATTTCTATAACACGCGAAACCTTGTCACTGTGCGTTAGAATACACAGTAGAAACTTTATGCATTTTTAATATTCTAAGAACACCAAAATGAAAAATGTTTTCTTTCAATTTAATGAAAAATATAACTATGAAAAATTAACATAAAAATTAACGAAATGTGCGTAAGAATTAATATGTCACTTTTTCCCTCGCAGTGTTTTTTTGCGTAATTCTTTGCAACGTCATTTAACGCCATTTGACGTCAGAAACGGCTCTTACATATATTAATCACGGCAGTTTTGAAGGGCGCTAAATTCACATTTACGATTAACGAAAAAAGCAGTTATGAAAAAGGAAAATTAGAGAATGTAAATATAAGCATTGGATTCATATTTTTGGATGTCTTTGGTCCTATAACACACCTGGCCGTGCCGACAAATTATCAGACCGCGCTAACGCACGGCCGAAGACATCAAAAAATATGAATTCAATGCTTAAATAATGTTTTTCTCTGCTACATGCTTCATAACGCTTATACTGTGCCTATTTTGAACTCACCTTGTATTAGTTACGTAATACATTGACCGTTTACTGACTTAATTTTATCAACCTTCTTCACGTGAGAGACTTCAACCAATCGCAAACAAGGATATCTTCGAAAAATAAATAAAAGTAATATTATTAAAGAGCTAAAGCCACGAGCCATAAAACTACGCCTTAACTTAATCTATATTACATATTTTTCATATTCTCATTTCCATGTTATTTCATATTATTTCAGTTGGGAAAATGAATGTCGGAACTTGTAAATACATTTACGGAACACCAGCTTGAGCTATTGTTACACAGTACAACATGATAAACAAACCTTCCTCAAATTAAACCATCAAAAATGAAACGTTCTTGTCATGTACATTATCTTGTCGTCGTAATTCATAAACATCATTATAAATATTTGTGCAATTTATACTTGTTTGATCAAATTGGGAAAATCCTGGATTGTAAAACATTTACAGAACTGATTGGCAAAGCCAACGGCCAGGCCCACATATTGGCAATCATCATAGACGCTATATCCAAAGCTCAAGATGTCAAGATGCAGTGTTATGGTCAAAGACAAATATATAAAACCATAACGCTAAAGATCTGCAGCTAAATTGAATCTACCCTATGTAAGAATGCTTCCACCTAAAATTTAACTTTCCTGTCCCAGTGGGTCTCGAGAAGATATTTTTAATTCATAATTATCTCCCCTTAGAAGAAGGCATTATCATAAGTGACCTAATAATAAATAAAGATCAGTGGCGTAGCATCGTTTTTGAAGGTGGGGGGGGCCAGGCAGAGAAATTTTTTTTTTACTTACCTGAAAAAGTTGACAACCAAAAAAAATAAAAAAATAAAAAAAAGATTAAAGTTGCCCGAAGTCGGGGGGGGGGGGTGGGTAGGTAAACATTTTCTCAGTGTCAATTACTTTTAGTACCCATTCTTATACAACATTTTCGGTACATTTCTAAAAGTGGAGGGGCCAACCAGGCTTTCAATTAACATTTCTTATAGTGTAAGTAAGATTGGGAAAAAAGTGGGGTGGGGGCCTGGACTACGCCCCTGAAGATCATTACAGAGATGCTTACATTCAGATCCTGATGTCTCAAGATCATCATCTTCATCAGTACTTGTGTCAAGATAATCATCTTCATCAGTACTAGTGTCAAGATCATCATCTTCATCAGAACTAGTGTCAAGATCATCATCTTCATCAGTACTAGTGTCAAGATCATCATCTTCATCAGTACTAGTGTCAAGATCATCATCTTCATCGGTACTATTGTCAAGATCGTCATCAGTACTAGTGGCAAGCTCATCATCATCATTACAAGCATCAAGATCATCACCAGTACTAGTAGCAAGATCATCATCATCAGAGTCATCAACAAACATGTGGTTGTCTTTGTTTTCCTTTTTGTACCACTTGGGGCATGGTATTACACAAGGAACTGGTTTCTTACCATCTGCAATTCATACATATGTAGTAAGGAAGAGTGTTTCACGCCCCCGCAGGCTACTGACTAATCTATAAAATGTTAGGCCGTGCTAGATTACTCATTTGGTTTGTGCAGGAGCAATGAATCCCTTACATACCACGGTCATTAGAATCACTGGATGTGTTTATGACAGAAAGAAACAACATAAGTCAGGTTTAGATTTCATTCATTTATATAACAAGAATGATTCTGATGATGAGAGATGATAACAAAAATGATAACAAGATGAATTACCGGTAACAACGAGAGAAAATGGGAATAATGAACATGAAATTGAAACAACTAACTCGCAAAAAGGAAAAAATATATAATATGAAATATCTGTACAAAAATAATCTTAAAAATATGAATACTTTGTTAAAAAGCACCAAAATAAATTAAATTGGAAAATATAAATATTTTCCAGAAATAAGTTAAATAAAGAATATTCCCAGTTCTCCTAAATTCAAGTTTTAGTTGAAAAATGCTTCAAAAATATCTAATTAATTTTTAGAAGAAAGGTAATTCAAAAAGATTTACTTTAAATACGAAATTTAATAGATTTCCAAAAATAAACTTTTTTGAAAATAAATTCCGAATGAGTCAAGGACGCAGTTATCAAAATACATTTCAAAGTGAAAGTAGCAGAGAATAGGTGAGGTGCTGAAACAGTACCTGTATATACGAAGTGTTCTGTCGGACGACTCCAGTAAGAAAAGGACAAGACAACCCTTTTATACTTTATTGAACAAAAGAAAATCAATGAATCGATAAGTTTATATCAAACTGAACTATTGGATTCACATAACGCTGATTAGCCAATCAGAGCGGACTTTACAAAGGTATGTGAATACACAATACAGGAAGTGACAAATATTGTTTACAAATGGAGAATCGGGTAACATGTGTTTGACTTCGCGTTGTGTTTAAGTTAAATATGATTTAATAGCACCAAATTAATTAAGTGTAAACTAATAATTATTAAGTATAAAGATGTAAAGATAATTGAGGTAAGTAATTTGACTGAACAAAAACCAGTTTCCCACATTCTTCCCTCCTTGGGGAACAAATGTGTAAACATTTGTGTATAATAATATGCTTATCAAAGGAAAACTGCAAAAAAATAATATACAATACAATGACCAAAAATAATAAGGTCAAATATATACTAGTCATAAAATATTATGCATCAAAATGATATGAATGATCACTCGTTTATAACAACAACAAACAGGCAAATGAGTGACTAAAAAAATGAGTATATGTAAATAACAAAATCACTCAGGAGTATATACATCAACGTCTCTTCAATCTAATAATGTTCAAATATTCGATGAATTTCCTTGTTTTCAGAGCTTCTACTGGAGCATCTTTGAACCAGCGTGGGTTTTTATGGTGCGAAACAATGGTTGATGATGAAGATTCAAGGAAATATAATTTTTCGTCTCTAGAATTATTAATTTCGGGATCGAGATTTTCGGAAAGGATAGCAGTAGTGGAGAGAGAGTGTTCAACGTCATGTTTTCGTTTAAGTTGAGCTAATTTTCTAGGAGAAGGTGGTTTTAATTTTGGTGGAAGAATGCTAGAAGGATTGATGAACTCTTTGTTCGGCACTTGAATAGAGATGAAGTTAACACTTTCTGATGAAGCGTGAGTTTTACTATGTTGAACTTTATGTTTCATTTGAACTAGTTTGTGGCATACTGAACATTTTTAAAATTTTCTTCGTAGATTGATGAAACTTCGTCCAATGATTCATGTAGGAACGGAAAGTGGTAAAGCTGTTATTGCCATGTGGACACAGTTTAACATCACACTTCATGCCTCCTTCCTGCCATAGTGGTCTTATGTCTTGATTTAGAGTGTGAAGCTCCTCCACGGGGACATCTAATTCCAAAACATCCATCTTTGATAACTTTAAAAAAAATAAAGGTAATCACATTCAATGATATTAGAAATAGCAGTTCAGTCATATAACCTATGTAACATGTATTTGGAATTTATTCAAATCCATTATACATGCATCCAGGTGATTTAACGTTCAATAATATCAAGGTTCTTCAGAGCCATATAATAAGACTGGTAAAACGACACGATCAAAAAGGTCAAATTGACAATCAACTGGTAATTTGAATTGTTTAATGTTTCTTATAATGCCATACATTGCTTTTTGAGCTTGTTCATATAGGTGTTTTCTTTGTTTTACAAATAGAACCAGAGCGTGAAAAAAAACAACTCCTAGATATTTAAATTCTTTAACGTTTTCAATTGCTAAATTATTGTAATAAAATTTTCTTTTTAACATCGGACTGTTTGTCCGTTCTCCTGCGCGTTCCTATTTATCTGGAGTTGACGATGCTCGCATCCTATTTGCATTGCGGTCGGTATTAAGTGTACCATTCATATTATCAGGGGCAGATCCACTGGCGTGACTGCTCCACTCGAATCTGAAAAACGGGGGCGTTTTCCTGTGGGTAATACTCCTTTCCATAAATAAAAAGTTTATCACGTACCAGCTTTGTACGTTTGTGATCCAGTTTTGCCTTTTCATAACAGAGTACAACTTCTTTCTTTTCTCCTCGATCTCGTGTGGAAACTGCTCGTTTACATACACTCCGCTTCCCTTGAGCCTTCTGCCTGCCTTTGACAGAATGTGGTCTCGGTTTTTGAAACAAGAGGCCCATGGGCCTTATAGGTCACCTGAGTATCATGTAAAAACTTTCCAGCGATTGTATTTGGTTCGTGTTTTAAGCCAAAAGCCATGAAATTCACAAATTTTGAAAGAGGCACCATTGCTTATCAAAGGGCAGATTTCAAAGCATTAATTTATTTTTAGTCAAAGTACCCCCCTGGTACCCCTGACCCAGCAGCCTTGAAATTATCTATTTTGAAAGAGGCCCCTTTCTTCATTATAAAGCCAGCATTAGTTTTTATGTTTAGGTTTAGTTATGAAAATGAGAATAAAAATGTTCCAAAGGAGAAGGAAATAATTTTTTTTTTTTGATAAATCAATTATTAACATTTGTACATTCTTTTTTTATGCTTTCCTAATAGGCTCCTTACCACTGGACACATAATGCTTACAAATAGGAAAGTAGAACATTTAATTGCTTATTTCATCATCTGCCAGTTTGGGCCAGTCATATAAATTTTGTGATGTTGATCAAAGTATATTTTAAAAAAATCTGTTCTTTAAAAGTCTTTCAATATATCTTCATTTTTTTTAATATGTGTTAGGTGAATGTGTAGACATTGTTCTAAAATTTACTTGATGCCTAAAATTATAATTCCTATCATAAAACAGACAGGGAGTATTGGGGAGTAGAGTCAACATTTTTTCAATTAAGTGTAAAATAATTTTTCTGGCTGATACAAATGATACTACATGTCTGTATATATTTGTATATTCTTGCCTTTTAATAGTTGAATTTTTTTTAATTTCTTCAGGTTATTGTTTATTTCTTCCTCAAATGGACTTCACTTGACTTCTCCCATAGTTTTATTCATTACATCTGATGCATAAGCAACCCTTTTCTGAAGAATGATGCTTAGACTGTAAGCTATAACAGAGACCTAAACAATGTCCCTGGCAATATGCAATAGCTACCACGGGCAGTTTAAAACATGGGGGAGGGAAAAAAATTACAGTTACTTTTGAAACGAATACATAATTATCTCACCAGCATGTCATTGTGCAACAAAGTCGTCAGCATTTTATTTGTCCTTTGAACGGGGGAAACGTTTTGAATGGCACTCTTATCGATGAATTTTACACTAAACCAAGCTATCTTTATCTAGCTTTATTTACCCGCCGTTTCAGAAAACCGGAAGTGCGAGTTCGTAAATTTGATATCTCGATCCCGACTCAAATTTGACATCGGAAAGAATTTTTTTTAATTTTTTTCTGAAAATTCAAAATCTTGAGCGGAGGGTTTGTAAAACTGAAAATAGAATAAATCCTGGCCTTCAATATGTAATTAGATCATTAGCATATTAACCAGGAGCAAAGGATAAGATGTTCAAAGAATTCATGCATTTCACTATATAATCAATAGAGCCCCACCCTAAAACAAGAACCCCTGACCCTGGGGCCATAAAATTCATAATTTTGGTAGAGGCACTCTTGCTTATCATAACTATGTACTTAGTTAGTTTATTTAATACCCAGAAGCAGAGAAGAAGATTTTCAAAGATTTCATGTATTTTCACTATATAACCAATAGAGCCCCGCCCTAACACCAGAACCCCTGACCCTGGGTTCATAAAATTCACAATTTTGGTAGAGGCACTCTTGCTCATCATAACTATGTACTTAGTTGGTTTATTTAATACCCAGGAGCAGAGAAGAAGATTTTCAAAGAAATAATGCATTTTCACTACCTACTTATTTAGCCCCGCCCTAGCACTAGAACCCCTGACCCCAGGGCCATGAATTTCACAATTTTGGTAGAGGACTCAATGCTGATTACAATCATGCAAACAGTTTGACTGCTTGATGTCCAGGAGTAAAGAAGAAGATTTTTGAAGACTGCACTAATTTTAGTGGTTTTGGCCCCACCCCTCAGGCCCCAGGGGGGTAGGGATCATGAAATTCACAATTTTTGTTCCCCTTTACCCATAGATGCTTTGTGCCAAATTTGGTTGAAATTGGCTGAGTGGTTGCAGAGAAGAAGCTGGAAATTTTCAAAAGTTAACGCAAGACGGATGAAAACGGATAGCAATAGATCACCTGAGTTTACTCAGGTGACCTAAAAAGAGAATTTGGTCACAATTTTCCTAGGAATTTCACTGAATTCATTAAACTTGCCCATTCTGTGAACTCTTTCAAAATCTAATGGGCATTCCAGTTTGTACTTTCTTTGGAGGAAATCTTGCAGTACCTGTTCTGTGTTTTTCCAGGCATGTTCTCGTATTCCTGTGAATACCAGATTGTCGCGCATTGAGCGTGCCTTCAGGTCAGTAACAGATTGTTGGTGATGGGAATTAATTTCTTTAACAGCTCTTAGTTCTGACTCTGTTGACTTTTGAGCATATCTACAATGTTCAATATCTTTTCTGTCACACATTATCATGTTTTTATTAGATTTTGCCTCTTCCTTCACCGAGTCAAACAAGTTTCCCAGGGAATTTACGTTGGATTCTAAATTTTGGAAGTCTTTATGTCTATGGTAACAGGAAGGAGAATAAAATCATATCAATAAATTTTTAATTAAAAAAAAAGAAATATTTATTTAACTCCTAGATATAAGCGATCACTATTTAATTACTGCCATTTGAGCATATTTTATTTATTGAAATTATTCTTAGAATGTGAAATATTTCTATAATCTGTATTTATGGTAACAGAATGGACAAAAATGTAACAGGAGGGACATTTTCTCAAAAATATTTTTTTATCTGTTTGTTATTTTAATTTTAAAAATATATGTTGATGATATGCAAAGTATATTACTTAAGCAACAGCATAGGAAAATTATAATAAATAAAGTAATGTATGTCTCAAAATGTAAAAATTTTGGGAAGGTTTCGTCCGCAAGTGTTGAATAATTATTTCTGTGATAGGACAGTAGGATTCTAGCAGCACTTTTCATGGTACTGAGATGTTTTTACATAACTATTATTACAAATTAAAACTTAATATCCCCGGGGTAGTGTTGAACTTTTCACTTTTTCATTAAGGCATATTTTCTAATTATAGACATCACGTGGTGACGTCACGGGGAAGTTCTTACAGTAGTATAAGTTCCATTGAAGTCTACAGAATGCATATTTATAGCAAAAGTGTTATCCTTAACTTTTCCTATTTAATAGTGTTACATAATTATAACAAGGTGTTAAATTGCCGAATTCTGATCCATGTGCTGCCTTAACATAACCGCGCAATGCTCGGGTGAGCGATGTGGCCCATGGGCCTCTTGTTTTTGTTAAAGATTCATGTATATAATGAGTTCACTTGAAAGTGGGAGAGGAAAGTTCCTTGCAGATCAACAGAAGTTCAAAGTTAAGGGGTTAAAATAATAAATGCTGGAATGCCCCCCTCCCCCAGAGGTCCATGGGCCACATCGCTCAACTGCAATATCAATTTTGACCCCCTCATACTCCAAGGGTCTTAATTTAGACATTTTAAATTCCCTATTGTGGCCCCATCTAACTCCCGGGGGTCATGATTTGAACAATTTAGAATCTTCACTACCCCAGGATGCTGCCACTTAAGTTTCAGCTTTTTCTGGTCAAGTGGTTTCTTTAGAAGAAGATTTATTATTTAATGACCCCACTCTTTTTTTGTCTTTTCTTATCTCTCCTTTTGTGAGAGGACGGTCCTTTATTTAAACAATTTAAATTCGCCTTCACCCAAATAGGCTTTGTACCAAGTTTGAATACAATTGACCCCGTGGTTCTAAAGAAGTCGAAAATGTGAAAAGTTTACAGACGGACAGTTAGACCGTCAGATGGCAGAAACAAGAGATGATTGTAAAACACATATGTCCCCCTTCCCCCTATTTGGAATTTTTACAAGTCCAAAAGGGCACAGTTTAGTCAAAAATGGGGCGATTATATCCAAAACCGAACTTTATCTAGATAATCATCTGTTAAATATGTATACCAAATTTCATTTCGGTATGTGCTACGGTTTTTTTTTTTAGGAAATGAGTGGAAACTGCGAAATATTAAAATTTTTCTAAGTCCGATTGTATCTTAGTGTAGTCTACTTGTGTTCCAAATCATATTGAAATCAGACAAAAATTGTAGGAGGGGTAGCGTAGCGTTTTAAAGGAATTGCACACAAAATTCTATATTTAGTAACCACGTCAACATT